CTATAATACTATTTTCTATCAGTGTATTTTCGTGATAAGGATATTAATGTTATCCCTACCAATATTATATGGCAGTCAAAAAAGTACTATAGCGTAAATATTGTAAATATGTACTCTTTTAAAAGTACAATTTCTGAGTTGAAGATGATTTTCGTCGTGAATAAATGTCATCAGAAAAAATATCTATAGATAATAAGCATTAGATGACTTTCATTATAATTTGGGACTTCTGAACACTATGTACCCATTATCTCTTCAGAGGTTGAGTTTAAAAAATTAATCTAATGATCAAATCATTTATATTTTTATGCACGATTACAAGTTGATTTTATTTACAAATGTCTATTTTGAACGTAACCAAAGTAGTGTAACCCATCATACTGAATGAAAAACAAAAAGGATGATATAAATCACGGTTTAAAATGAAATCTTCAACGAAAATAACATCCTGTTATACAACACAATAATAATGATAACTATTTTATTATATTTACAATAATAAGGTTGTACATAATCTACAAGTAACTTTAGTAATACCAAAATAAATTCATATCACATTAAAATGTTTACCTTTTACACTGATTGGATTAGGATATTCTACACCTAGTGCTTATTTTATCATACACATATAACACATATATGGTGATATCAGGTGCCTATTACTGACTGCTACTACTCAGTCACAATACATTCAACTGTAACTCTGAGCAGTAAAAATCTATCCATTAAGGAGGACACATGTATTATTATCGTTAATTATTTCAGACATCCTATTTGATAAGTATGTTCATATTTTTTTTAAAAACAAACAAAAACAAAACAATTTGTAGGTTATTTTACAATCTACAAAGAACAATTCATATACTAAAAATATAAACTTAACAATAACATAGACATAAATAAAAACTGAAAAGCTTGTTGAATATGCAAAGAACAAGTCTTTGAAATAGTTCAAAAAAATGTTTGTTAACTTGAGATATGTAATAGTTAAAATAACAAGACTCAATTTAAATGAGATGAGAGGTACATATACATATTAGATTATCTATTTTGTATGTTAATACTTCTTTAAAAAAGTTTGATAAATATCACTTTGAGTTTCATATTGAGAAATTCCAAATTATCAGAATGTTTTTTTTTGTGGAGATTCAGTATTTTCATAGTTGAAAGAGTGAATCAATTGAAGCTAGACCACCATGGAAAACCTGGAAGCACTGGACGACCGCTTCGTTCTATTGTGGGACTCATCAGCAGTGCGCATCCACGACCTAACCTCTCCAGATTCGAACCCAGGACCTACCAGTCTCGCGCCAGAGTACTTAACCGATAGACCAAATTAATAACTTTGAAGTCTAAAATTAGTAGTAGTAGTGTTGTGAACAGAACACTAGTTGGAGACAATCGAATATATTTAAGCAAAGATTACAGACTATCTCAGTAAATTCTGATAACCAAACAATGAACAGTCAATTTGCAAATTAACAACCAATTGTTTCAATCTTCACTGTTTCTTCTCTTATTCCATTGCTCATGCATTTTCCGAACGACTGCGCTTCATTTCAGTTTTTTCCTCATTGGTCTTCTGCCAAAATACATTCTATGTTTGACCCACACCATATACTACTTATATGGATATAAGTAGACCACACAACAGTAGTAGTAATAATAATAATAGAAGCAAAACAAAAAATAAAAACGGATTAGTGATTAACCTGAAACATGAAAAAAATTAAATTGAATAATCATCCCTAATATAACTCAACCTGTTTCTATTTGTTTTCTAAAAGATGAATTGAGGTAATTATTTATAACAACGATATATTTAGCGATAGAAAGTGATGCAATAGAGAAGTATAGTCTTTTTATGTTTGTAAGATTGATAGATCCCATGTAATATGAGATGGTTAGGTGACGATTAAACATTAAAACAACAAATTAATTAGTATGAACGGATTTCAGGAGACAAAAGAACAACCAATAAAATATATTTTGGTTTTGTAGTAAAGTAACCGATGAATCAACTCAAGATTACTTAACAGAATCATATTAAAAATATTATGACCAGTGATGTTTCACTACATCAGGTTTGAGGCATCGAATGATCATCTACCTGTGTTATGTTATAAGAGAGATTAAAATTATATAAACTATTAAATTCTAACTAAGTGGTGTAGTTATTTGATGTTCACCATAAAACCTGGAGTTTTTGAATCTAATCCAATGTAAAATCATAAGTTGCTACCATTGAGGAGTATAAAACAACAACAAAGGAGTTGTCCAGTCCGTTTGTTTACCAATGACTACTCAGTTGATGATATTACTGAATTCTACCAGTCACTATTATATTCATAACGTTTTCATTTACCTAAAATATAACTACAGTACAAGAGGTTGTATACTTTAGGTCTCCTTGACATCATCTGTGAGAACAGTTTACTGACTTGGAAATTTGTGTTCATTTTCTCAAAAGAAAATAGTCATCATTTTCATACCAATCATATATAAACCTTTTTTCCGTTTTATGTAATCTTTCACATCATAAAAGATATAGATACTATTAATAATAAATTTCTAGATTCCAATATATGTATATACGTATCTTTTAAATTTAACCTTTAACCTACTTTAATGCCTATCTGTGAGAAATATGACTAAATAAACCGACCAAGCAATTGAATTGTTTCATATACAAGTTAATATTGAACTATGAACCATGACTTATGCATGTGTCTAGTGTAAATTATACAAAATTGACTAATTCATTTCATTTTTTAAAATTTTTTATACAAAAGTTTATAACTTTTCATTCACTCAGTTATTTATCGTTGTTGCTTTGTTTACCTACTTTGTTTATCATCATTACTATCACCATTTTATTCATTACTTACAACAAAATAATATCCGGTATAAAGAATAATGTTTTCTATAAACACAAAGAAATGATTAATTCTTTTCTGAATATACTGACTTATCTCTTTATCCTGTGTGTTAGTGTTAGGTTTTGTTCTCTATTCGTTTATACGCTGTATACATTATGTGTTTGTTAGATATGTTGTTCTATAGTAATTAATAAGAGAAGTAAAAATTCAATAAATGCATTGTATCATGCTATTTGAAGTATAAACATTTGTTATTCTTGTTTTATGGTTTATTATCAGCTTGTTTAGTAAAACAAAACAACTTTTTTTTCTTTCTCATCATTATTAATTTATTCACAATCAAGTTACCTGTAAATAAATAGGTATATTAGTAATAATAAATAGTTATATTGTCTTTTGATAAATGACTATTATCTTGATAATAATTTATTGTGATGTTAATAAGTAATCATCTTATCTGTTGAAAGTAAATATTAGGATATTCTCACACTGATCAATTTAATAATAATCCATCTAATTTTGCTTGATTGATTATTCTCATTGAACTCTATCGATCAAGTTTACAATTTGAAATCATAAACCAATCTTTGTCAGATCATCAATAAAGCCATCCAGTGCCTCCAGGTTTTCAATGGTGGTCTGACTTAGACCGATGCATGATGTCAATGAAATGAAAAATATTTGGAACTCTGATAGTATTGAACAGTACAGTGCATCTACGATTTTAAAGATACAGATACAAATTATTGCTTATTAAATGTGTCTGTGTAACAGTTTATTCACACCATAAACTATACAGTCAAATAATTTACTAGTGCAAACGAAAAACAACTCATCAAAACAAATACACAGAAGAAACATCTCCAAAAATTTCTGTGTGCACTATACTTGACAGTAAAATACTATACAGATTGTTGAAAGAGATTATTGTTATTTTATTTTAAGCCCATTTTATTGTTATTACCTTTGTGTGCGTAATCATCCATTGGTAAATGGTTGATTTGGCACTTATAAGATATTTTCGTTTTTTTTTCTTTACACCTAAACAGTCGATGAAAGTGCTATAACAACTAAGATGATATTTATATTTTTTCGATCACTACAAATATTTCTACCGAGAATTTAAACAACGTATAAAAACCTGGTTTGAAAATACAGAAGAAATATGTGACATTTTAAATATATTGAACAAATAAAATTTGTTTTCTTGAAGTTGATGTAACTGTTATCGATAAATAATACTTTATCAAGCAAACCATCAGGCTATATGAAAGTAATATCATTGGATTGGTGTGCATCAAAAACAGGCAATAATTGGGCATTCATTGAAAATTGGCAAACACTGGATTTGGGATGCACCCCAGTATGCTACTCTTTAAACAGTATTCACCTTTGCAACTTCAATCACACAGACACCACCCGACAACATCAGTAATGAATGTTTTACTTAAAACACTAGTGCATTCAATCATTCGTAAACTTGATCAAGAAGAGATCACTATTCATTGCTCCCCTGATTCTGACACGAAATTTACCTTCAAATTAAATAATCATAGTACCCTTATCTTTATAATATTATTAAGATGAATTAATTAGAATGAACGATTGATGGAATACAAAATGGTTTCGAGTACATTTATTTACTTAAAAGTTATATATATATATATATATATATATATATATATATTCGAACGATTTGGTCTGTTTACATGGAAACAGATTGATTAAAATAGTGTCATCAAGTGACCTTCTGGAAAACGCAACTTCCTAAAGAATCTAAAACAAAAGGTAATCTCAGGTTACACAACTTTTCCACATACGTTACAACGATGAATACTTCTTAGGATCTTCACTTAAAATTTATTAAAATAAATGAGATACTTGCTTTCTGTGCTTCACGATAAATTACTACTTATGTAAAGAGATTGTTACCAATAGTAGTAGTGAACAGTAAAAAAGAAACATTATACATACCTTAAAATAATTATTACTTTCATAGTTATTTTTTTATTTGAATCACATAGATTTTTGATAATAACAATACAGTTATGATTTCGATGTCTTATCATTGAATATTCTAGAATTGATGTTAATTAATTAATCTATGTTTTCACATAATAGACTATTCAGCATACGATCAAGAATCGGATATATCAGACAATAATAACAAATCCAATCAAATGTTGCCAATTTATTGTTCCATCATGGGTTTAATAATTATTTCATTATTATGTTATGTTGTATACAAATTATGGCGACAAAGAGAAGCATCAAAAAATTCCAAATTAACTGATTCGTACAATAGTAACAAAACTGATTTATTAGATAGAACATCTTGTCTAGATCATAATCATTTACAACATCGAAGAATTTCATCAGGTTTCGTAAATAATAACGCTCATTTACCAAATAATTCACCTCAGTCTGCAACTGAACTTAATAACACTGTTGATTCAACACCCGATAACGATATTAATAATCATCTTCAATTTAATGATATTATTGTTGGTCATGAAAAAGCACCATTACTTGGAAAATTAGATCATTCAAATAGCTCATTTAGTAAGTTATTATTCCTTAGTAATTACTTATTTTTATCCTATTCAACCATATTTTTTTAAAATAAATAATAATCTTTATTATTTTGGGGAGATTTGTGAAGATTATAGAATTTTCATAGTTTAAATCATGAAATGATCTTAACTAAACCACTACTGAAAACCTGGAAGCAATAGACGGTCTTTTCGTCCTAGCATAGGACTCCTCAGCTTAGCTCGTCATTGAAACTGTCCAAATTCTACAATCTCTAAAAATAGGATTACTTATTTATCTAACTAGGATCTAATTGAATATAATCAAGAATGTTTTGTTTATCTCTTTCTTCCTTCCAATCACTCTCATGTTAAATGGTTATTTATTAATAATATTTATTTATACACATATTTTAGATAATTTTGAACAACAACCAATAACGGTAATCCCAATGAATATATTAGGAGTTATTTGTTATCGTTTATCTCAACATGGATGGCAAGAACTGGTTAATATACTGGGTAAGTAGTATTAGATTTCAATATGAATTTTTTTATAAAAAAGTAATAAATTAATGTATACAGATATTTTATATAGTTGAGATCATGAGTCAATTGAAGCTAGACCACCAAAGAAAACGTGGAAGCACTGAACGGCCGTTTCGTCCTATTGTGGGACTCCTCAGCAGTGCGCATCCACGATTCCGCCTCGCAAAATTAGAACCCAGGACCTACCAGTCTCGCGACAGAGCACTTAACCGATAGATATGTTTCTTTTTTAAAAAAAGAATTAAGACAAGGAACCACATCCATAAACTTCCATATGAATAAAAGTATACTCCGAATATTTCTCATGATGTGTATTTTGAAAAACTAGTAAAATACATCCTACCGACCAGTAAAAACAAGTAGAAAATTTAATATATAGAAAAATATTTATTGATTTGATTTAATAGATTTCATAATAGCACAATGACATTTTAACAAAAATAATTGACTACATGAAAATTAAAGATATGTTGGAAACCAAATATATAGAACATAGTTCAAGAGAAAAGGTTGAAGTAATGAATAAAATCAAGCAAAGTCAAAAATATGAAACAATTCAAAATGAATATATTTAAAGTACTGTAAGGTCAGACGGTCAATTGCACTTAAAGTAGAACATAGTGCATGTAAAGATTGTTTCAAGTTCACACAATCCATTAGAACAACAAGATATAATTGTCAGCGCAAATCCCACAGTAGTAAAGCATGTAAGAGAATTAATGGTAATACAAACTATTTGAAATACGAGATACCATTCAAGAGGAAAATATAAATTAGTGTAGTAAAAACATTGGTAGACTTCGGATCTCAGAGAATAAAATGAGTGAATGAACCTGAACAACTCCAATTGATTTTGAGCTATTTCACTCAGAGTCCCTAATCATTAGTTATGATAATCACGTTGACCACAACCACGTGGTCTGTCTGTAAACACACATACAGGTCAATCCGATAGTCAGTTTCCTTACAGACTGATGTCATGTTTTGATAAAAAATTAATTTTTTTTGATGTATCTTGTTTATTTACAAACACAACAAACCTTTTGCAATTTAATGGTTTATTGTTATTATTATTGATATTATTCTTACCTCCATCTATTTTAGATTTAGAAACAAGCAAATTTGATCATTTACCTTCAGAAATAACATCAGACTTATTATCAGCTACTATGGGAGCTCAAACAACTGCTGAATCTCATTTAAAACAATGTAATCAAGATAATTCTAATACAATACAACCAATCACTAATAATAATAATAATAACTTAACAATGACCGTTTCAATGTTTCAATATATGTGCCTACAGAATACAGTAAATTTAGGTCAACTAATGAATTCATTACAAAAACTTAATCGTCCTGATCTTGTCTCTTTAATTCAACAACAAATTGGAATAATAAAATCAAAAAAAACTATAAATCAATCAAATGAAGAATATAAAACTAAAACAAAATCAATAAAATCCAAAGAAAATTTTCAAATAGAAAATTAATTTAAATTATTTATTCTTAATATAAATTAGAGATTAAACATTGAATAAAGAAAACAAAAAATATATTTAATTTGTTTTATTAGAATAAATTCTTTTAATCTAAGTCAATATAATTATATAGCCTTTCATAAATTACTCTTTTTATCTTATATCTAATATAATATTCACTTTAAAAGGATGAAAGGGAAAAAATATTATTGTCCAATTCTAAGATCTTTTTAATACTTTTTAGTCCAATCATATTTCAATATTATTAATGAAAAAGAACCATCAATAAATCATCTATTTGTTATTTAACTTTAAAATTATTAAAACCAGTGAACTATTAAACATTTTTTATATTGGTGATTTAATGCATTTCAAAGAAAGAAGAAAAGAAAAGCAAAAAAGAAAATCACAATAAAATAATCATAATAAGTTGAGAAAAGGCAAGAAATACCCATTATCACTTCTTTTTCTTTTTGTTTGTTTAAACAAATATATCCATGTTATACATTACGATATTTTCATGGTTACATTTCTGTATATTATAGTTTAATTTTCTATCTGTTAAATGTTCAACATCTTTTTTTAATGAAATATTTAATCAACTGTTTATCTGATCATGTTTTCTCTAATCAGACAAAACAAACAAACAATCATGTTTAAGTGTTAACTTCAACAATGTAAACAAGAATTAAAATAGTTCAATTTCTATAAATTACAAATGGTTTATCTTTTACACCGGAAATATATTTAAATTAGTACAGAATATTTTAAACAATAGATATATGGTATAGGAAATACGAAAAAAAAAATATATATATATAAAGAATGTTAGAAATTAATAAATTCTTTACACAAATTGTTTATTAAGTAAGCCGGTGATCAATCTTTGACATTTGTATTCAATATTCTATTGCTTTTATTATAAGTTTCCAATTTCATATTATCAATATTATTAAAAAAACAATAATAACCATGGTTATTATTATTCTCTTTTATTATTCATATTGCTTATTTGATTATAAACTATAGTTATTTAAAGAATCCTTATATAACTGTTTACCTATTCTCAATTTTTTTTAAAAAAAATACCTTGACAAAATAGGATAAGATAAACATACGAAGTTAACTAGTTACCATTTATTTGGAACATTTTGTACATAATAAATCGCCTTACATTATTAAAATTCATTTCATATTAAGATTTAAACAATAAGTGTTTTGTTCTTTTTAATATGCTCTATTCCCCTGTTTATTTTCTGTTTTGCTTCTTTTCATATAAATATAAAAAGCGAGAAAAATAATCACAATTAAAACGTTAAATAATAGCATATATTACTTATTAATTAGGTTGATTTCCTTACTATTTCATTTTTTTCTGTACAAATTACAATTAATTTTACTGAACACATATACATGTACACTTTTGCATTATGTACTTTTTGCTTTGAATAAATTTATGATAATTTACTCTGATATTGATTAGTGTTGTGATTATACCAAGAAATAGTTGAGCTTTCTCAACAATTTACAACAACACAAATGACAATCAACTTCAGAAGAACAGATCGACAACTAACTATTAATTATATTATGATAAAGGAAAAGACTTCCTTACTTATACCTGTTGCCCCTGGTGAAGGACTACAGGCCACACATCAACATTCTCCATCAGTCTCCATCCTCAGCAATCATTTCCAGTTGTCATTCATTCTTTTTATGTCTGCTTCCAATTCTCGTCCCAATGTGCTCTTCAGCCTTCTTCTTTTCTGTTTACCTTCAGAATTCCAGGTTAGAGCTTTCTTCATGAATCAGATTGATGATTTCCTTGATGCATGTCCTATCCACTTCCGACGCCTTTCCTTAATTTCCTCCTCAACTGGAAGCTGATTTATTCTCTCACTCATTTATTCTCACTGTTACTGATAGTATCCGACCAACGGACATTGAATATCTTGCGTAGACAATTGTTTAGAAATACTTGTACATTTTTGATGATGGTTGTGGTAGTTGTCTAAGTTTCCATATCCACCAACCCGATTAAAGCGCCGGAAATTCGCTTTTCGTCCTCTCAATTTCGTAAACAACATCCCTGACGCGAGAAGGACTTATCTGGCAGTGGTTGTATGCATGTGGCCAAGTGAGAGTGGACTCTCCCCACCCTCGACTGTACCAAGGTATTTGGGGACTAGTAGTTAACAACTACAAGGCAGTTAACAGTAACAAAATGTCTAGAAATCCCAGCTTAATTAGGATTTCACGAGATTTGCATATTATCTATATCTGTATGGACCCATTACCTAAACTAACGACTTATATAATATTTTGTAAGAAAAGTTCACTACATACCCGTAAGGTTAAATAATTATAAAAAAACAATGATGTAAATGTTAGTCAGAAATTCGGGAGTAGCTTAAATCTACACCAGTATCGCTCAAGTGATTAGTGTTATTTAAGTGTGCTCCGAACGTCATTCTTGGAACTAGATTTTCAAAGCACCTATCTGTTTGATCATTAGCGATTCAGAATTTTTGATTTGCACATTCCTATTGTCCAGAAACATAATCGCAGTGTTTATTTCTTACTATTTTTATAATTATTTCAAATGATTCACCACTGGTATCGTTAACGTCATCCTATTATAATGATTTGCTATGATAATCTTATGATACGTATATTTATGAGTCATTATGTTGATTACGACTGACTGATTACCAGGAAAGGAATAGTTTCTACGTACTTAAAATATTATTTGTAATACTAGTTTGAACACAAAAATCTATGACAACTCACACTTTTTCTGTCTTGGAAGTTTTATTTGATATCAACAACTGAGAACTATGGGGAAGATTCGACTAATTCAAGGAAATTCATGCATATGAACTTTAAGACTTTAACTTATAAAAGAGCCATGACGGAACAGGATAGATTAGACGACGTATATTAAATACGTTATTTAAAATGATTTCTTTTACGTAGCCTATATACGTATAGGAATCCTATAAGTAAAATAATCTTTTGCATACAAAGCAGAAAAATGAAGGAAACTGTACAGCAGTAGTTTGATCCAGATTATCAAATTCACCAATAATACAGAGAAATCCAAGAAGAAACTGTTAACAGGAACCAGTCAATGCGGAGCATATAGCTACAATGTGTTTAGGACGGCATACGGCAGGAGGATAAATGATATATCCTTTTGATCACAAAATATATTGGGTCTTCTATTCAATGTCTACAAGCCTTTGATGAATAATTAGTATCTACATCATCTCATTACAAAGTACATGTAATAATATTAGAGAAGTAGCGATAGTGCGGATCGTTTGCACAATAGAACAACCGAAATCACTGCACATGTTTAGATGTAAAGGTCGAGAAAAACTACATGACATACAACTGAAGCTACTTTTGTATGTACTATAGATTATACAAGACAATTGGTGTTTGAGTTGGTTTTTACTTAAATCCAATGTCACTAGGCTAACAGCTGAACCATTACTACCTGAAATAACCCTGGATTTCATCATTTAATTATCCAGTTCTTTATACGATAGTCACTGAATGTACGACACTGCTACTTACTCCATTTTCCGAACTCCAGATTTACTAAATAAGTATTACCATAGAAAAAAGCCCTAATTTAGTTTTTATTTGTGCAACTATGAGTGGCTAGGTAGATATCAGCGACTAAATGTACCATCCACTCAGCTTCCGGTGAGAAACACTAATCAAATAATACCAAAATTGTAGATAGAGCTGAAGTATTAACATTATCCCTACAAGTCATGAATTTTATAAACACCTCAAAGCAGAAAATGTCAAGTTTGGAAGAATATAGAAGACCAAATATGAAGTAATCAGGAGTGAACTTGATAATACAACAGACGATTTCTTTTTAGCTGGTAGGTCCACCATAGATCCTCAGAGTGAAATTATTGGTAAAAGGAATAAACATTACAGAAATAATGGGTAACCCGGAAATCATAAGGAATTATTGTGGTTACTTAACCTAACTTCATTACAACGCATAGACCAATGTACTCGACTAAAAGTCACACGAGTACTGGTGCAAAAACCTGACTTTACAAACCAAATTTGAACTTATGATGGTACTTCAATTACTAGGCCACTGCTCCGTTATCATAGGAGTACGAATAAATAATTCTGATTTCTGAGGGCGTTTTGTTCTCTGAGCTCGATGTTTTAGTTGTAAAGCTCGAAACCCACATCCTTAGCTACAAATATCTCCCACCATCTCAAATACCTCCTAACTACTGGTATGGGGAAAGAACCTTCAACACTTTTTAGACATATCAACTTGATATAAATTACACTTTTACCATTAGAATACAGATATTACATGTGAAACCAGTCAAATGAATAGAAAAAAGATGTGTATTAATGTGAAAAACCCATTAAGTTTTACTAACTGTAACAATGTTTCCATGATATCTTATTATTACAGTCATATTGTTTGGAAGACAGGAAAACCAAAAGAAGTTGATCTTAGTCCCCAAAGTGAAGGCTTAAAAATGACTGACCCAGTAAGCTTAAAAAATGATATCAAGGTTGCAAAAGATACCGGTTACCGATTCTAATCGGTTGTCTTTTGGACTATGGAACCACAATCTCAAGTGGATGAAACCACTAATTGTAACAGTTTCTAACTAGGATTCTTAATTATTCACAAAAGCGTGAAGTGAGTATAGTATGCCCACGAACTATTTCGGAAAAGAAGTACGCAATAATTTTGATCATTATATTGACAGCACTCATGCTTCAAGCGACATAAAAACAACCATAAGATTAAATGAGCATAAAAAAAGGTTTTAAAAGTTTCATGGTCTTCGTGTAGCATCCACAAATACGAGTGGATCTTTGCCTACAACACGAGCAGAATGTGGTATATTGCGAGGAACTTCTAGACGATCACCAGGACCTAATATAATTTCCTTTCCATACATACTGAATGAAAGCTGACCGCTGACAATACAGTCCAGTTTATCTTCGTCGTGCGTATGTTCCGGAAAATTGGTCCCAGGAGTGAACTTGTACTTTATGCAACTGCAACCCTACAAACAGTGAACAAATGAGTTAAGCAACTATATTAGTATGCAAAAAGAGGATATGGAACAATTGACGATACCTCTGATTTGAGTTTTTTTTAGCATATTTTCCAGAGTGAGTTGGCCATCAACGGATTCATTCCAACGATGGACATTCAAATCGGACATCTAGAAACAGAAGTGAATGCAAAACTTGAGAGAAAATTAAACTATAAGGGCCAAGTAAAAATTAAATTTTACAAAAAAATCACGTTTAATTGCAAATCGACTCACTATTCACAATGAATGAGTTAATAAAAGAGTAAACAAACAAAACAATAAATCTACAACTGTGTGTACGATTATCAGGTCGTTGGAACACAATCTGCGAAATCGTTCAAAACTCTCTGTAGCACTCACACAACTAAGGAATACTGAGTGCGGACAACATTCACAAATAGTTTAGCAAACAGTAGCATTCACACAACACAACAGTCGCATTTGTATGGACGATTATCAGGTCGTTGGAACACAATCTGCGAAATCGTTCAAAACTCTCTGTAGCACTCACACAACTAAGGAATACTGAGTGCGGACAACATTCACAAATAGTTTAGCAAACAGTAGCATTCACACAACACAACAGTCGCATTTGTATGGACGATTATCAGGTCGTTGGAACACAACCTGCGAAATCGTTCAAAACTCTCTGTAGCACTCACACAACTAAGGAATACTGAGTGCGGACAACATTCACAAATAGTTTAGCAAACAGTAGCATTCACACAACACACGAAAGAGCTCAAAACCCTATATGGCTCTTATGGAACTAGGAAATACATTGTAGATATTACACTACGTCCTTATTACTGAGGAAGCACTGGTTTGGTTAGTTGAGAAATACAAAATTTTTCCGGCGATTAGTTTGTCCGAAGGTTGTTTATGCTTCGATTACATTTCTTTAATCGCTTTTTTTCTACATACTGATGATTATCATACAAAGAACTCTTACAAATGTTTTCTTATTAATAGAGACACTAGGAATCCAAACGTCCTAAAAGTAAGCCGTTTGGTTAATCGAATTCCCACTTAGAAATTCGAAAACTGCGGAGAGACTTTACTAAGTTTACTTATTACGTACTAATACGACATGTCTTCTCAAAATGGACCAGCAAGTGAGCCTTTGACTAATGGGGAAAATCCTACGCTTGACAAAGCAACACCTGTTTTGTTTACGTAGCTAATTAATTTCTAGTTTATTTTTACAAAACGAAAAAACCGATTGATTGAAAAACTGTTAATAAGAGAAAAGCCATTAAACGTACTTAATACAAGGATTATATAAAATGTTCTTACAATTTTATTAGAATCGCGATTTTCGACACTTATCTTTGTACCTATGAGCACTGACGAATCAGGAAGAAGCCCATGGCAATTATAAGCATGTGAGAAAAGTTCGGCAGAGTCATAGAACTTTTGAGGACACACGGCAAGAAAACAGTCCAGCTGAAATCCAATGGCTAAACCACTGTCTGTGTATTTACCTTTGGTTTGAAAGCTCCACAATGTGTAATTTGTTCGTGTACCGAAAGAAGCCGTGAAGATATAAAACTTAAACCACAGAGTGAACATGAGTGATGATGACAAGTTGCATAATGCTGCTCCATCAGCTGTAGATCTTCAGTGACACAAAGGCAAGATGAGTTTGGACAAGAAACACTACTTCGTGGAACATTGTTAAACAAAGCAACTTTCGTACCTGGTACTATAAGAAGTACATCCTAAGTCATTCACTAGTAAACACTTATCTGATGGCAGAAAGTTGTCCATTAAATTAAAGAACCCAAGGTTTGAAGTCATTATCTAGAAGAAAGGTAAGCTTTTATCAGTATTGAAAACCAAGAACGAAAACTCATACTTCTCTAGTGAAAAACATGTGCCTGTCTTGAAATCAGAGTATTTTTGATAAAGAAACTCATTCACATTACTCGATATCAGTTCCTCAGAGTTGCAATGTATATGACATCTCTCCGTACACTTGTTAGTGACCAGTGGTCTGATTGGACAAAAGTATATCTAAACATTCGTACACTACGCAAGTAACCAGAATTTGATCCTGAAGCCTATAATGAACAACTAAATTGGATCAGTCCATAGTGCTTTACATTACTAACCTCATTCGCTGATATAAGAATCCATTTCTAGTCTGCAAGGGTACAACAGGTTCACTTTAGCAATGAAACACCACAATCGTAGGTCACATGTGCAATTTGAAGGAGTTGATGCCCTCCGTAAGATTCATATTCACGCCACCCAGCTTTACAGTTTGAGAAGTTAACAACAAACATCACACACATGTACACTGTGTTGGCTAGGAACCTAGATCCAAGTCTTGTTCCCGAAGTAGAGTGACAAAAAAGGAAAATCCTAAAGGTGAATGTATACCACGCTGATAGCTCTGAATAAACCAACCAATATTAAGAGTGAGCCACTAGAAATGCAGTGAAGGTCTACTTTTATGTTGTTATGAAAACTGGTAGTGCCTGGCTCTTAATATGCATAGTGGAGTGTTTTGTAGCTAGACAGTATTTTGCCACTCCTACTCATAACTCAATACCAGCAATGAGTTTATTAGGTTTTTGAACAAAGAAGTGGTAAAGCATTGCTGCACTGTAGTTGATATAAGTTGGTAACGGAAACCTTATAGGATTCACAATACTGACCTGACTACTAACATGTATACGTAGCAACTTGCCTATGTTATGGGGAATAAAAAGGCCGTTAGTCTACCGTTACTTTACACATTTTATAGTAGTACATTAGTTTATAACTAAGCACTGCTTCCTAATTAGTACCCCAAAGGTACTTTGTATGTTAGGGGTGCTAAGAGCAGTAAGATTATATAGAAAAGAACAGGAGAAAAAGTGACTAGAAGACTCAGTAAACACATAGGATGCACTCACATCTAAGGACGAAAGTGGCTGACAACAACCAGAAGCTACACGAGCATGAGGTTGAGACAACTCTGATAATCGAAACAAAAAGTTGACAGCGCGCCATGTGAAAAGGACAGCAGTATTTTTCCTCGTTGAGTTAATTTTATTGTTTTGGTCGTTTATTACGCATCAAGACTACTGTTTTCGCTTTGATTGCATTTAGCTGAGTTAAAGTAGTCGCCAAGAGAGTCGTCTTTTCGAAAATAGTTTATCACCTGTGCTTTTGAGTATGTAGTGACCTACTTTTATGAAGAGAACAATATTGGTATAACGGAGACAATTATTGTTAGAAGCAATCGTACCAGTGATTGTTTTATCGTACCTGTCTGTTTAAGTGTGCCAAAAAAGACACTTCCGTTGCTTTGTGACCTTGTACGGACTCGCGTACGCTCAGTAGTCCCGCTTGAAAACGTTTGCACGGCCTCGGTATTATTTCGATTCCACGAGATCGCCAACAAATACATCTTACCACAACTTTCAATTGCCTTCTGATATTTGGCCTACGGAGGGATCTAGCTTAGTAACTGGCAAGTAGTTTCCCTGTAGTGGCGACTCGACGCCTACTACAAGTACATCGGTCCTTTTTGTATTTACTTGAACTTTTAATTCTAACAATTTACAGTCTTTCACTTGAGGGTGCCACAGCTATTGTAGTTTGACAACACTTGACCAGTAACACCTATAATTAGATCGTGACCACACAGTGAAATCAAAAGTTAGGAGCGAGGAGGTTGGAAGATATATTTGATAGCTTATCAATATATCGAGAAGTGAGGGATCTCAACTGGCTAGTGATTGCATGAGAAATTGAGCACGGCGTTCCCACTTGTGAGCTGGTGCGGATGCATGACCGAGCGCCTTCAGCTAGGAGAGCCTATTAACTTGTAGTGACCTGCATTTCTCGACGAGAACACGATTGGAATAATGGAAACAACTATTATTATTATGACCAATTGTACCAGTGATTGTTTTATCTTACTTGTTGTTGTTTAGCTGTATCAAAGTCACTTTTCGTTCGGTTGTCCGCCTTGTTTGGTTCGAACTTTCTTACAATCTGTCCTTATTGCCGGTAATCTTTGGCACGTCTCGGTATTCTTTCGATACCACGAGATTGCCAATAAATATACTTTATCTGGACTAATTACAGTCTTCTGGTTTGCGATTTATCGAGGGAACCAAGTCGTTTTTGGGCGCGTAATCTCATCGTAGTGGTGATCATAGTCCATCAAGACTCGACGTCATCTACAAATTAATCTTTACTACACACTTTGTATTTGCTGTTATTTCACACGATAAGCCATGGCTCAACTTCCTTATGATATGGAAGTCATTTTAATTCCGTTTCCGATTTGTTCACATGCAGTACGGGTTTGGAAAATGTCTAAACAACCTCTGAAGTTCTCCGCGAACCCTACCATAGTATTCGTATAAGTTTTTATTCACACACCCAACTGTTACACCAACAATGCTCAAATAAACGTTCTGTGGAAATGTCAGTATACGTAAGAACGATGTTATTTCTATTTGACGTTATAACACCTAAACTATTGTAGTTATTCAACTTCGACATTGCACTTCATTTTACGAAGTATTGCCTACTTGTGACTGTTATCTAACAAATGATTTCGGAACATCAATCGACTGTTCAAATACTCGACGATATATAACCTTTCCAGTTCAATTGGTGGTCTGATGACGCTAACATTCGCGCGAATCATCAGTCTATGTAGTCGAACGAATCTCTTACAAAGTGAAAACGACATTTTCGCCCACATCCTAACACTGGCAGCCCTTTTTTGCACTGACATCATTGACATTAGTCCAGAGTGACACTCTTAGTTTCTTTCGTTTTTTGATATTTTTCGATCAACTTGTCGGACAAACATGCAGCACTCACCGTTCATCATCTTTTAGAGACTTCATCGTGCCACCTTCTTTCTTGATCTGTAGTCTTCCACCTTTACTGATTGTAACGGCAATCATCGGCTTTTCAAACGCTAACTACAAGTTGATCAACAGCTGCATACAGCGAAACCACGGCTTCTCTTCACGGTTATACTTCTGTACTTACAGTTAGTTTGTTAAATACAGATATAATTAGATTTGGACACATACGAAAAGAAGCTATCAATGGAACTGTCTGACTTTTCACTTCAAACCAGCAGCGGTACAAACATGGGCATCGATTGGTAATGCACTTATCGTACTATTACTGTAGTATCATAACGCTTGCGGCAAACTTAACGTTTCTCATCTGAGGAATTCAATCACTTGTCAAAGCTATCTATTTCAAAACGACTTAATAGAACTTTAAAAAATTGTGTTTTTTCTATTATTTCTGTGATTAATCGCTTTACATTCAACCAATGTTCTAGTAACTTATTATTACTAGCTTTTTCCCGATCAGTTTCTGCCACCTCTTTTCCATTTGTCTTACAACTTGGCAATATTTGGAGGATTCATATTATTCATTCGGCAACTTCCAGCGCGCACCTGCCTCCATCATGTTTGGTACCGATTCAAACGGCCACCGAGTCTGTTCGGGGTAGTACAACAAATTTTGTCCATTGAGATCCGCCGATCGTGGACCGCTTAAAAACTGAGGGGTGAATGAGGTCTTGCTAGACAGTTTAAATACTTGGTCATCAAGTGGTCGGTGTTTAATCTTACTTAATTACTCACAAACGTACGCCTGTTGCCCTTCGTGGAGGACTATAGACCACACATCAACATTCTCCATCAGACTTCATCCTCAGCAATCATTTCCAGTTGTCTGCTTCCAATTCTCGTCCCAGTGTGCTCTTCAGCCTTCTTCTTTTCTGTTTACCCTCAGAATTCCAGGTTAGAGCTTTCTTCATGAATCAGATTGATGATTTCCTTGATATATGTCCTATCCACTTCCGACGCCTTTCCCTAATTTCCTCCTCAACTGGAAGCTGATTTATTCTCTCACTCATTTATTCTCACTGTTACTGATAGTATCCGACCAACGGACATTGAATATCTTGCGTAGACAATTGTTTAGAAATACTTGTACATTTTTGATGATGGTTGTGGTGGTTGTCTAAGTTTCAGCACCATACAGAGAAACTGTGTTGACGTTCGTATTGAAGATTTTGACTTCGATGTTGGCTTGCATACAGTTGTTTTGAGTTGCATATATGTTCTTCGACTGTACGAATGCTACCCTTACTTTGACAATCCTCGTATTTACGTCTGCATTGGATCCTCCTTGTTCATCGATGATGCCAGCCAGATACGAACGTAAAAGTTTTCACCTGTTCCAAAATCTTTCCATCAAGTGTGGTTGGGTTGATGTTCTACGTGTTGTATTTGAGGATGTTGCTTTTCCCTTGTGTATGTTGAGGTCTACTGCTCCAGAGACTGCTACTACACTTGTCGTCTTTACCTGCATTTGTTGATGTGTATAGGATAGGTTGGTTAGGTCATCTGTGATGTCCGAATCGTCTAGTCACATCCAAGCTGTCCATTGTATTCTATGACCCTCCTTAGATGTCGAGGTCTTCATAATCCAGTCAACCACTAGAAGAGGGAGGGTAGGCAGTCTTGTCTGACACCGGTTTTTCACTTGGAATGCATCTGTGACCTGTCCTCCATCTATGCACCACTCTGCACTGTAGTTCGTCATGTCGATTCAGTGTGATGTTGACGATCTTCTCAACTACTCACTCTAAAGTGTCGACGAAGTTCCACAATGTTCTCCTATTCACACTATCGAAGGCTTTCTCATAGTTAGGATAGTTGATCTATGGAGACGAGTTGCATTCAATCGATTGTTCAACGGTGATCTGCAGTGTATCGATTTGATCTGTACACGACCGATCCTTACTGAATACGGCCTGTTGATATCGAAGCTGACTGTCTACTGAATCGTCCATCCAATTCAGCAGCACTCTGTTGTAAACGTTTCCTGGTACCGGTAGTAGTGCGATACCTGTGTAGTTCTTATATTTAAACATTAAAAACACGAGGTTCAGATAATAGATCTATTTTCAACGAATTTATTATCAAGCTGTACAATCGTATATATATGAAAATTTTTTATGTTAAAGTACCGGCTCTATGAGGACATATGAACAATGAATAACCGTGATGATGCGATCGGAAGATTGCAACACTAGGTTACGCAATATGAATAATAAAAATAGGTTTAATAAGTTAGTAAAGAATAATCATGTGAATACAGTAAGATGATTAATATGTTTTTGTTACAATAATTAGAGCTCATTAAAGGTAATAGAGGTGTAGAAAATAAATGAAGTGATACCACGAACAACTAAGAATAAAACCACAAGAATATGAGACATAGGTAAACGGAGAAATGGAATAATAATAATGGATTTAGGCCGGGTTAACGATAACGATAGAATGTACGTCTTTTGTACTCACAGTTCTGGCTTGAGCTCATGGGTGGTAACAGCTTCCGATATTCTAGGGAGTTCGAAACAAAGGAACCTAGGCAGATTTGGACGAATTGTTTGCACAACCTTAAAATCAACCTATGGATCAATAGAATGATCAGAGTCGATTAGATGTTCAAGGATGGAACTTCCAACTCCTTTCTTATTACCCTTGTAGAACCACGCTCGGACATATTCCCGTTTCCGAGTTGAAAGCGAGCGCTGGTTACGGCCATTTTGTTCTCACATTTTCTCGGCTCTCCTTTTCTTGTCATCGTGATGAAATATCCTTCTTTCTAATCTATCGGTACTTGTTCTTCCTCCCAAATCCTCCTAAATAGATCGGGGAGCATGTTTGCAGTTACTTTTATGTCTGACTTTAGTGCCTCGGCTGATATACTGTCAGATCCTTCTGCTCTCTCACTATTGATCTGTCTGATAGATATGCTGATTTCCTAGACTGTTGATGGGTGACATAAATATGAAGGTATGTGTGTGCCTCTTCTAGGTCTGGTGGTTTAGTACGGATGACCTATTCAAGAGTTCTTGAAAGTGCTCCACTCATATGTTCCTCTGCTCGTAAATCTCGGTCATTGGCTTGCCGTTTTTGTCTCTGACCGATCTCTCTGATTTACTATATTCCCCTGCTAGTTTCTTTATAGTCGTCTAATAGTTCCTTCTCTTGTAGCTTTATCAGTTGTCACTGCTAGATCTACATATTTCTACCAATCAGCTCTAATGCTCCTCTTCACTCGCATGTTTGCCTCTGTGTATTCAGTCCATGCCTTGACTTTCTCCGTCCTTGTTTGACTGTTGCAATTTTTGTCTTCTTGTTCTTCCTTTCTTGAATCCTTTCCAGGGTTTCCATAGAGATCTATTCCTTGCAGTTATGCTTCTAGAGGCTCAGTAGTTCCTGATACGTCGAAGTTGATATTTTTATGATCTATTTCCAGTTGTCCTCCAT